TGGATTACAGTGTACACATATGTGGCAAACATTCAGTGCCAATTTTTGACATACAAACATATATAGACATAGACAGAGGCTATTTAACTTTTTCTGGCCGCCGGGGAGCTGTCACTTTCATCGTCCCTCTATGACGCTGATGAAGCACTTCCGCATTCCCCGCATGCTTCCCCGCTGGAATGCTTTGCTGGAGTCTTCTTTATGGCCTCATAAATCAGTTAATTTAGCCTCCCTACACTTTTTAAGGTGGTACCTTATTTTCCTACTTGACAGATGCAACTGTCTTTCGGGTTGCAAAGGTCAACAACAGGCTACACAATTGGTTGGAAACCCACTCCAACCCAGGCTGGCTTCGAACTCATGACCTTTTGATCAGATTGATCTTAATGCAGCTGACACTCTGCCAGCTGCGCCACAATCCCGGTGCTAGTTATAATTATTGTATTATAATTATTGTGTGTGTTTATGGCCTGCATTTTCTCTCTCCAAAGTGGTCACTCGAAGTGGCATACATTAAAAGCATTCCAAAACAATTTAAAATCCAAAAATTACATAATTAAACATCAATGGCATTAGTTTTTTAAATCAACAGTGAAAATCCTTAAAACGTATTCAGAGCTAAATTGTGTATCGCTCACATTTAGAACAGAGCAATTTATGATAACTTAGTGAGGAGGGAAATATTTTCAAGCTTTGAAGGGTTGAATCTGTTGATAAGAATCCATGGTTAATAGACTGGGATCTACTACGTTTGGCAAATGTGTTGCTCGAGAACAGGTATGGGCCATTCCAGGCCTATGGGCCAGGTGCGGACCCTTGGGCTCTTTTCTCAAGCCCTCCTCTCTCTCATCATCCTATCTTTCCTTTGGTCCTCCTTCCCTCCATCCTTTCCTTATATCCCTCTTCCTTCCTTCCTTCCTTCCCTTTTGTCTTTCCTTCCTTCCTTCTCTTTCCTCCCTTCCTCCTTCCTTCCTTCTTTCTCTTTTTCCTTCCTCCTTTCCTCCTGGGGAATGTTTAGTTGGGAGAAGAGATGGTTGAGAGTGAACATGAGAACCAGATTTCAAGATGTAAAAGGGCGTCCCATTAGGAGGAGGACAGAAAACACTGATTTTCTGCTTCTCTAGAGGCGAGGGCACAAGGGAGCAATGATTCCAAAAGGCAGGGAAAGAGATTTGACTGAAAAGATTTGGAATCACTTCCAGGAGAGTAGCATAGGCAGCCTCGGAGTGTGGTAGAGTCCCTTCTTAGGAGGCTTTTCCACAGAGGCTGTCTATTGCGTTGATTGTGCATGGCAGGGGCTGGGGCTGGATGGCCCTTGGGGGTCTCTTCCAATGCTAGGATTCTATGTCGGGAATGGGTAATATGGGGTCTAATAGGTGCACTTTTTCCTCTCCCATCCACCATCTCATCCTGACCAAGACCAACCCTTGTGGGATCCAAACATTTCCCGTCATTCCTTCACTTTCTGCTTCCAAAAGAAACAAGGAAAGGGAGATTCGTTTATTTATTTACAGTATTTATATTCCGCCCTTCTCACCCCGCAGCGGACTCAGGGCGGATTACAATGTACGTATACATGGCAAACATTCAGTGCCATAGACACACAACATATATAGAGAGAGAGAACCCAAAAGTTGGAAGAGACCTCATGGGCCATCCAGTCCAACCCCATTCTGCCAAGAAGCAGGAATTTGCATTCAAATACCCCTGACAGATGGCCATCCAGCCTCTGTTTAAAAGCTTCCAAAGAAGGAGCCTCCACCACACTCCGGGGCAGAGAGTTCCACTGCTGAACGGCTCTCACAGTCAGGAAGTTCTTCCTCATGTTCAGATGGAATCTCCTCTCGTAGTTTGAAGCCATTGTTTCGCGTCCTAGTCTCCAAGGAAGCAGAAAACAAGCTTGCTCCCTCCTCCCTGTGGCTTCCTCTCACATATTTATACATGGCTATCATATCTCCTCTCAGCCTTCTCTTCTTCAGGCTAAACATGCCCAGCTCCTTAAGCTGCTCTTCATAGGGCTTGTTCTCCAGACCCTTGATCATTTTAGTCGCCCTCCTCTGGACACATTCCAGCTTGTCAATATCTCAATAGACAGTCACACAGAGGCTATTTAACATTCCAGCTTTTTTCATGAGGGTATTCTGGCTGTCGCTTCACCTTCCATTTGTGACACTGATGAAGTGCTTCCTCATTCTTTGCATGCTTGCTGGAGATTTTTATGGCATCGTAAATTAGCCTCCCCACATGAGCGGTACCTAAATTTCCTACTTGACAGATGCAACAGTCTTTTGGGCTGCAAAGCTACACAAATTGGTCAGAAGCTCACTCCGACCTGGGCTGGCTTCGAACTCATGACCTTTTTGTTCAGTGGTGATCTTAATGCAGCTGACTCCCAGCCAGCCGCACCACAGTCCTGGTGCGAGATCTTCTCTCTTCAGCTACCTCATAGCTTTCTCTTTGCCCTAATCTCAAATGGGGCCCTTTTTTGTGTAAAGGCTGAGCCTCCAAGGGGAGAAGTGTGTGCATATTGGTGTGTTGCAGGGAGAAAGAGAGTGAAAGTTAGAGGGGAGTGTGACAGGAGGAAAAAACTTTTCTTTTTTGGCAGGCAGTCTTTCTGGCAGGGAGGGGACATACATATATATATAGAGAGAGAGAGAGAGAGGGAGGGAGGGAGCTTTCGGTAGCAAAGGTAGGGTCTTTTTAGACTTATTGCTTGGATGAGTCCCTTTTGGGAGATAGGGCAGGATAGAAATAAACTTTTTTTATTTTTTATTATGAGTCCTTTTTGTTGAGAGGGACTTCAGGTACAGTACTCACATCGACTCATGGTTCCATTCACCCAGCGTTTTGGGGTTGATGTTTTCTTTTGACTAACATTTCTGCATAGGGCATTTAAGGACACCTGATTCTTTCATGTGAATCCAAGGTTTACCATGAGCAGTGGAGCGAGCGAACCGTGGAGTGGACCGGCAGCAAGCGCGCGAAGAAGCGGACAAGCAGCGGGGAGAGCAGCGAGCATCCCTCCTGGCACACCAACGGAGAAGGGGACGGGCAGCCCTCCATCGAAGACCAGGAGGAGCTGGTCAGGACAGAGCCCAGGAGGAGTCGAGGGAGGCCTCGCAAGTATCCGCCGGTCAGTCTCGCAAGTATCTCCAGGGGAAGGGCTAGAGGCTGGTGGAAATAATGTAACGGGGCATTTCGTTTAAATTCGAGACTTAAAATCCAGGACGCCTGGCAACCCTGCGTGTAACAGTGGTGGTTGTTGATGTTGTAGCCACGACCACAGGCTGCCATTTGCTGCCCTTCAATATATAGGGTAAGCCTTTCTGAACTTTTCATGCTTTCTGGCATTTAAGCCCCGGGGGAAGGAAACAGCTAAAACAGTCATTGCTCTTGAATGGTTTGAATTCAAGGCATCTTTCAAATTCTTTATTGGTTTTATTAGATGGCAGGGGCATGCCGTCCCAGTCTGCACACACAATGCATCATGATGTCCATGAAGTTTGATAAATACTGTCTATATTTGAGTATAAGCTGAATTTTTCAGCCCCTTTTTAAGGCTGGAAAAGCCCCCCCTCGGCTTATACTTGAGTCAAGATTATTTATTGTTTTATTCTGTTATTATTTTACTCAATTATTTATTTATTTATTTATTTATTTATTTGCGACATTTATATGCCGCCCTTCTCACCCCAAAGGGGACTCAGAGCGGCTTACAAATCATAAGTACATACAACATACTACATAATACATAACTAGCATAGTACTATTACATCATTCATAACACTAGTACTACATAATATTACATTATTGCTAGGGGAGGGGCACTGATGTCACAGGGGACAAGTTGGCAATGTCCTCCCGGCTCCCCTTCTTTATTCTGGCCCCAGAATTTAATATTTTCCTCTATTTGTTATTGTTATTATTACATTTATTATTTTACTCTAATATATAACATTTATTATTTTACTCTATTATTGTGGTTATTACATTTACATTATTTTACTCTATTATTATTATTACATTTCTGTTGAACAGAACATTTAATATAATGCCAGGTTTTTAAACTTGGTGGTTTTTTAAATACATTACAGCTGTACCCTTGTTTTTCTCCTGATACAATAAATAAAAAATAAAATAAAATATTGCATTTATTATTTTACTCTATATTACATTTCCATTATTTTATTCTATTATTGTTATTACATGTATTATTTTACTCTTTTTATTGGAAGTTTACGTAAGCACATTTACATTGAAGAATTTATTTTTATTTATTTATTTACTGCTTTTTATATTCCACCCTTCTCATCCCGCAGGGGACTCAGGGTGGATTACAGTGTACACATATATGGCAAACATTCAATGCCAATTTTTGACATGCAACATATACAGACATAGACAGAGGCTATTTAACTTTTTCTGGCCGCCAGGGGAGCTGTCGCTTTCATCGTCCATCTGCGACACTGATGAAGTGCTTCCGCATTCCCCGCATGCTTGCTTTGCTGGAGTCTCTTTTATGGCCTCATAAATTAGTTAATTTAGCCTCCCCACACTTTAAGGTGGTACCTAATTTTCCTACTTGACAGATGCAACTGTCTTTCGGGTTGCAAAGTTCGACAACAGGCTACACAATTGGTTGGAAACCCACTCCAACCCGGGCTGGCTTCGAACTCATGACCTTTTGGTCAGAGTGATCTTAATGCAGCTGACACTCAGCCAGCTGCACCACAATCCCGGTGGTTAGAGCAATGGTTTAATCAGAGTTGGACAGTCTTATCTTACAGTTTTTATGTAAATATTCAAAAACATTTCACCTACGGATGCTTCAATTAATGTAATTTTATTGGTATCTCTCTTTGTTTTAGAAACCAGTGGTGGATCCAGCTCTGAAAAGACCAAGAGGGAGGCCTAAAGGAAGCAAGAACAAATTTCCCTCTAAGGCAGCCGAGAAGGTAAGCTGACCCCAGAGCCGGGGGTGGTGAGGATTATCCAACCAGTGGTGGATCCAGCTCTGAAAAGACCAAGAGGGAGGCCTAAAGGAAGCAAGAACAAATTTCCCTCTAAGGCAGCCGAGAAGGTAAGCTGACCCCAGAGCCGGGGGTGGTGAGGATTATCCAAAGGGTTTCGTTATTTCATAACTGTGGGATTTGTGCTTTTGAAATACTATTTTTTGTTGTTGGAGTGCAGTAGGAAAAACCCCATGGTAACCTAGGGACAGTCTTCCTTGCTCTGATCTTTTTATTTAAAAATACAACTTTCATAACAACAACAATAATATATTTTATTTATTATCTGCCCCTTCCAATGGCTCAAGCCAATAACAGTAATGTAATTAATTGTGTATACTTTGCATTCATATGGTTTGGCTTGAGTCAAAATACGAGGGGTATTTTTTAAGTAAGGTCCGTTTTGTTGTAGACACTAGTAGTTCGCGCGCATACCGCAATGAACGCGTGCGTCATGTACCGGCATGCCTCGGGAACAACTGTGCTCAGTTTCCGCTCTGTAGCTCACCTGTACGGTTCTGTTCTGTGCTTTAAAAATGTTTAAGACTATCAACTCACCCTCCGCATGTGAGGTTCGCTCAGTGATACGGTTTTTGTCAGCAAGGAACCTGCCTGCTGCAGAAATCCATCGACAGATTTGTGAAGTGTACGGTGAGACTGTTATGAGTGAAAGCAAAGTGCGTAAGTGGGTACGACAATTCAAAGATGGCCGTGACAACGTCCATGATGAGGACCGCTCCGGTCGCCCTTCTTTGATTACAGACGATTTGGTGGCTTCAGTTGAAGTGAGGATTCGTGAGAACAGGCACTTCACAATAACAGGTCTCTCAAACGAATTTCCTGACGTGTCGAGATCACTGCTTTACAACATTGTTTCTGAACACCTAAAGTTTAAGAAACTGTGCTCCCGTTGGGTCCCGAAACCTCTTAACAGAGGACGACGACGTGAAAACGGCAGTGAACTCTTGGTTATCGGAGCAGGCGGCAAGTTTTTATGAAGAGGGTATTTTAAAATTGGTTCAGAGGTATGATAAGTGTTTGAACAAACTTGGCAACTATGTCGAAAAATAGAGTGAAGTATGTACTTTCTGAAAATAAATTTACTTTTTTGAAATAAACTTTCGTTGTGTACTTACGTTCCAACGGACCTTACTTAAAAATACCCCTCGTATAATACTTGCACTAAACACAAAGACAGAATTGGCAGATAGTAGCAATTGAATGTAAATCAAAACTCATGATTGAAAGTTGACTGGGTCAACCTTCTGCTGGAAGAATCTTATACATATCAGTATGTTCTTCTGTATTTGGGACTGTATAGTGAACATTTTGGATGCCTAGCAATCTCTGTTCTAATTGTCCAGGTCTAATTAGTTTCAGGCTGCTGCTGAGTTTCAAATGAAAAATCAACTATGGAACCATATTGTAAATAATGCCATCAGATGCAAATCATTTCATGGATAATGTTCTTCCTCTCAAGTTGATTTTGTGGAAACCAAAATGCTTCAAGAGTAAGAAGATTGCCCATTTAGCTTAGATGGGGGGCTGAAAAGGGATAGGAAACGTAGGGGTCCAGTGGGATGGAAGCTGAAGGAAGGGGACTACGAAGCAAGGCCCTTGTATCTGCTGGAGGTACATTTCACAAATCCTGGTGGATGCTTGAAACGAGTATATTTTGAAGACATTTGGGAGAGAATCATACCAAGGAATTCCTCTGCTACTTAAGAGGGAATTGCACTTAAGAGAGACATAGAAAAACTTAACCAATGTTTTGTTGTTATTGCTTTATGTTTTTGATTTTGCTCTGAATTGTTTTGTTATGCTGTTGTTGTGTTGAGGCCTTGGCCTTTGTAAGCCGCATCGAGTCCTTCGGGAGATGCTAGCGGGGTACAAATAAAGTTTAATAATAATAATAATAATAATAACCAGAGGATTTGTTTTTCTCTGGAGTGTGGATATGTGAAGTGTTGAATCCGTGGATATGGGGTTCTTATCGCATGTGGACATAAAGAAGGGAACAGAGTGGAAGAGGAGTGCAAAGAGGCTTTGTTGGTGGTGGTGGTGGTGCTGTGTGTTTTCCAGGCTGCCTGGGCAATGTATTCTAGCAGCATTTTCTCCTGATATTTCACTTTCATTTGTGGCTGCTATTCAGATGATCATCTGAAGATGCCAGCCACAGATGCAGGTGAAACATCGGGAGAAAATGTATTGTCGAAGGCATTCATGGTTGGAATCTGTTGGATTATGTTTACAATCAAGCATGCATTTAGATACTCCTTTTCTCTGGTCACCATACTCTTGCTGAAAGCTAACACTCTAACATTCCAAACATTTTATTGCCCATCATAAAAGTTGCATGCTGGGATATCAGGGACATTGTGTACGTGCCAATTCTCAAGTAGATTTCCTTTTTGAAGTGGGAAAGTTATAAAAGGGACCCCCTAGTTCTTTGTCTTCTCAGAACGTTTTCGCAATTAGAGTTAGCAGTAGTTATCCTCATGTTCCTGATGTAACAATCGCATGCTGATAGCGGCCTACCTGTACCACAGGCCCTAATGTAGTTCCTAGCTATATTTTAGATTACATGAAACTAAAGACTTTACCTGTATGATCATCTTCATACATGATTTGTGAGTAAACTGTTTTATTATATTATTCTGGTGTTCTCGAGTTGTTATTTTCTTTCATATGTTTGGTTTGGGGGAGGCTGTATCCTTTTGAATCAGCAGGCTGACCTGAAGGTTTTAAAGACGTTTGCCTGAGTTATTCTCCTGCCTTACTCTTTTCTTTCATACTCTCAGAGAGCCCGTTAGCTTTTCGCAGCAGCTCTGTTTGATGCTTTGTCTTTCAATATTCAGGCATTAGCATTATACAAAACCAACAGAATCACTGGGTTGTTGTAGGTTGAGAAGGCTGAGAGGAGATATGATAGCCATTTATAAATATATGCGAGGAAGCCACAGGGAGGAGGGAGCAAGCTTGTTTTCTGCTTCCCTGGAGACTAGGACGCGAAACAATGGCTTCAAACTACAAGAGAGGAGATTCCATCTGAACATGAGGAAGAACTTCCTGACTGTGAGAGCCGTTCAGCAGTGGAACTCTCTGCCCTAGAGCATGGTGGAGGCTCCTTCTTTGGAAGCTTTTAAACAGAGGCTGGATGGCCATCTGTCAGGGATGCTTTGAATGCAATATCCCTGCTTCTTGGCAGAATGGGGTTGGACTGGATGGCCCAGGAGGTCTCTTCCAACTCTTTGATTGTATGATTTATCTTTTCTTTGTCTTCTGGATTTCCTTGGGATTTTTTAAAAAATTAATGGATTTGGAAGTCTCCTTGGGTCTTACTGTGGAAGGTGGCATTCAAATGCAAGAAACAAACAGACAAGTGACTTACAAATATTTTATGTCTTCCTCTAGGAACTAAATGGAGAGCCGTCTCCCAAAAGACCAAGAGGAAGACCTAAAGGAAGCAAAAACAAGCGCCCATCTAAACCGTTTAAAAAGGTGTGGTTACTCCAGAGCAAAAGAGTTGCTTGCATTTTTTCCATTTATTTGCCATTAACTAAAAGGTTTCATGTATTTAATAATAATAATAAACAAGAACAGTTATTTGTTACCCACCCCTCCTAATGAGAATTAACCTCTGAACTGCAGAGTTTGGACTTCTCTGCTGACATTAATGAACCTGACCCACCTTCTCACCTTCTCTTCGTTTTGTTATATATTTAATGCCGAATCACGCAGTGGGATTTGTGTTGTTGCTTGCATTTAGGGTTCTTTGTTGAAATCCAATGGCATGTCTTCCTCTATTTAGGAAGAAATGGAGTGGATGTCTCCCAAAAGAGCAAGAGGAAGGCCTAAAGGAAGCAAAAACAAGTGCCCATCTAAACCGTTTAAAAAGGTGTGGTTACTCCAGAGCAAAAGAGTTGCTTGCATTTTTTCCATTTATTTGCCATTAACTAAAAGGTTTCATGTATTTAATAATAATAATAAACAAGAACAGTTATTTGTTACCCACCCCTCCTAATGAGAATTAACCTCTGAACTGCAGAGTTTGGACTTCTCTGCTGACATTAATGAACCTGACCCACCTTCTCACCTTCTCTTCGTTTTGTTATATATTTAATGCCGAATCACGCAGTGGGATTTGTGTTGTTGCTTGCATTTAGGGTTCTTTGTTGAAATCCAATGGCATGTCTTCCTCTATTTAGGAAGAAATGGAGTGGATGTCTCCCAAAAGAGCAAAAGGAAGGCCTAAAGGAAGCAAAAACAAGAATCCAGCCAAAGTAGTCGAAAAGGTGAGGTTACTCCAGAGCCAAATATTATCCACTCATCCAGCAGTGGCCGAAAGGTTTTGCATACTGTATTTCATTATTTTATTATGTAATAATTTTAACCACAAAATAGTCACACCCCCTATTTTTCTGGGGTGCCAAAAATTAATATTTTTGTTTTCCTCCCACAATAGTCGCGGCCCCATTTGGACTTGATTGCATACTGTATTTCATTACATAATAATTGGAACCACAAAAATAGTCACACCCCCTATTTTTCTGGGATGCCAAAAATTAATATTTTTGTTTTCCTCCCACAATAGTCGCGGCCCCATTTGGACTTGATTGCATACTGTATTTCATTACATAATAATTGGAACCACAAAAATAGTCACACCCCCTATTTTTCTGGGGTGCCAAAAATTAATATTTTTGTTTTCCTCCCACAATAGTCGCGGCCCCATTTGGACTTGATTGCATACTGTATTTCATTACATAATAATTGGAACCACAAAAATAGTCACACCCCCTATTTTTCTGGGGTGCCAAAAATTAATATTTTTGTTTTCCTCCCACAATAGTCGCGGCCCCATTTGGACTTGATTGCATACTGTATTTCATTACATAATAATTGGAACCACAAAAATAGTCACACCCCCTATTTTTCTGGGATGCCAAAAATTAATATTTTTGTTTTCCTCCCACAATAGTCGCGGCCCCATTTGGACTTGATTGCATACTGTATTTCATTACATAATAATTGGAACCACAAAAATAGTCACACCCCCTATTTTTCTGGGATGCCAAAAATTAATATTTTTGTTTTCCTCCCACAATAGTCGCGGCCCCATTTGGACTTGATTGCATACTGTATTTCATTACATAATAATTGGAACCACAAAAATAGTCACACCCCCTATTTTTCTGGGGTGCCAAAAATTAATATTTTTGTTTTCCTCCCACAATAGTCGCGGCCCCATTTGGACTTGATTGCATACTGTATTTCATTACATAATAATTGGAACCACAAAAATAGTCACACCCCCTATTTTTCTGGGGTGCCAAAAATTAATATTTTTGTTTTCCTCCCACAATAGTCGCGGCCCCATTTGGACTTGATTGCATACTGTATTTCATTACATAATAATTGGAACCACAAAAATAGTCACACCCCCTATTTTTCTGGGGTGCCAAAAATTAATATTTTTGTTTTCCTCACACAATAGTCGCAGCCCCATTTTGACTTGATTTTTATTTACTTATTTATTTATATCCTGCTCGTCTCGCACCACAAGGGACTTACTAACAAAACCCTTGTTGGGTGAGTGGGCTTATTAACGAAAGAGCCTCCCCATAAAATGCACAACCGACTAACTTATTAGCAGCAGCGTGACTCAGCACCAGTAGCCCAAAGTGATCAAAAGAACAAAAACAGGCCAATGTTATCTCTTTCTTAGGAGGCTTTTCATTGTAGTAAAATAATATAGTTGCACTATTTACAAGAACAAGGTTTTCACAACACAAATAAAGTATTTTATACTTCCTTCTTTGCTTCCATGCTGGGCTTCTTCCTTATGTAGATGAACAGCTTTGCTCTCACAGAGGCTTCTCTCACAATGAACTTATACTGGAGCTTCACAGAGTAGCTTTTTACTGCAGCTTTACACATGAGGCCTTCAACCTAGCGCCTCTCTTACTAAAGCATTTTTTATATTTCCTACATTTATACTCCGTCCTTCTCACCCCTGAGGGGGGACTCAGGGCGGCCTCACAAAAGCACCATATGGTGTCATCATAAGACAATCAACAGTACATTATTAAAAATATTAAAACAATAGTTAAAATAATTGATTAACATGCGCCTATTAAAAATTGAAACATCTCACACCAGGCCTTCTCATAGACAGGCCTTTTCTCCCACAGTGAAACCTACTACAATTAAGACCTATTCTCCCACTGAGGCGTTTTCTCACACTGAGCTCTCTCTCAGACTAAGGTGTTACTAAGCAACAAGCACACCTGCTTGTATAGAACTAAACCTTTTGCTGAGTCATTGCACCATTAAACCCTTTCAGTGCTTGACTCACATTTTTGTAATTAAAAATACCTAGATGATATTAATGTTAATAATAATTTAATATTTCTGACAAGTTACACCTCCATTTTGAGTTGATACTTATTTATTTACTTACTTGCTTACTTTACTTATCTCTTCATTATTATTCTTATTATATTTATTATTTTACTCTATAATTATTACTATTACATTAACATTATTTTACTCTACTACATTTATTATTTTACTCTATTATTACTGTTATCATTACAGTTATAATTTCTCTTATTGTTATTACAGTTACATTATTTTACTCTATTATTATGTTTATTATTTTACTCTGTTATTACTGTTATTATTATATTTATGTTATTTTACTGTATTTTTATTACATTTATTATTTTACTCTTTATCATTGTTATTATATTTACATCATTTTGCACTATTATTTTTATTATTACATTTATTTTACTCTATTATTGTTATTATATTTACGTTATTTTACTCTATTTTTATATTACATTTATTATTTTACTCTATTGTTACAACGTTTATTATTTTACTCTATTGTTATTACTTTTGTTATTTTGCTTTATTATTGTTATTATTAATTTAGGAAAAAGGGTTTATATATCTGTGGAATGACCAGGGTGGGACAAAGGACTCTTGTCTGCTGGAGCTAGGTGTGAATGTTTCAACTGATCACCTTAATTAGCATTTGATTGCCTGGCAGTGCCTGGAGCAATCCTTCGTTGAGAAGTGATTAGATGTCCTTCTTTGTTTCCTTCGACAATAAAATATTCAGGTCGGCTTATACGAGTATATATGATACTTAAAACCGAACCAAGCTGTTGGATTTGTGCTCTGCCTTGTTGTTTTGGTCCTTTGTTGAAACCGTCCCTTCCTTCCTTCCTGGCGTAATTTAGGTCCCGGTGGCATGGCTGGCTCCCAAAAGGCCAAAGGGAAGACCTAAAGGAAGCAAAAACAAGCGTGTGCCCATGGGGTGGCCCAAAAAGCCCATCGGGAGGCCCAAAGGAAACAAAAGCAGTCCCTCCAAAGGGGATGAAAAGGTGAGGGTGCGCCGGAGGAGAGAAATCCCAGCCTTGTTCAACCTCTGAACTGCAGAGCTGGGGCCCTTCCGCTCTCAATGGTGGCCCTGCCCTGCCTTCTCTGTTTATGCTTTGCCCTCTTTAACACTGCTCCGCGCCCTCGGACGTGTTGCTTTGGCCTTGTGCCGAAGCCCTTGCCTCAGCGGCGCGTCTTCCTCCTCTTCCTATCTATCTAGGAGGCGACGGAGTGGCTGTCTCCCCGAAGATCAAGAGGAAGACCTAAAGGAAGCAAAAACAAGCATTCGCCTAGAGTAGCTAAAAAGGTGAGGTTACTCCAGAGCAAAAGGTTTGCTTGGATTATTATCAACTCCTCGGCCAGTAGCGAAAGGAATTCCCAAGTTTGACCTCTGAACTGCAGAGTTGTGCGCTCTTTCCGTGCTATTTCATGTTGGAATGTGGTAGGAGAATCCCGGGTCTGTTAGGGGCAGTTTTGAAAAAACAACAATACTAAAACCCTTTATAAATAAATCTATATATATCTATACTTTATCTATAGTATGACCCCCTTCCCTGCCCCCATATCCACAGGGGATATATTTCAAGAAACCCCATGGATAATGACGAAACCTCTATATTTTGAGCGTATCATTGGATGTCTTAGAGAAGTCCACTAAACACTTCATTTGGGGGGAAAAAAATTGATTTCTTTCTTTTTTGGAGCGTGTTTATAAAGTGAGACTGTGGATATGGAATCTGTGGATAAGGGAGTTGTACTGTAATGTTCTTCTGTGTATTCAGGACTATTCTAGAAGAAATAAATCTTGAAGTACTGTGAAACTAGAACATTCTGGATGTTGTTCGGGTTTCTTAATTGTCCACATTTCTTTAACGCTGTGCTCGGCCGCTGGGTGGAAAAAGGAGTGTTTTGTTTGTACAGGAAGAGGTGTTAATAATAACAGAAAAACAAAACAAATTCATGACTCCAAGACTTTGGGGGCGTGGCTTTTGGCGCAAAGGTTTTCTCTCCCTCTCTTTCTCCTCGTCCCGGTGCGGGGAGAAGCCCACTCGTTCCCCCAAAGGAAAGCCTGGTTTTGGGGCTCCGAGACCAGAAGAGAACTCCTTCTAGGCCTCAAAGGAAGCCGAGGGTGATCCACATGCGTCGTAATGTCTGTTTTAGTGATCCCTGCGTTCCGGGAGGGAGTGGCGGTCACAGATAAGACAGACAGCGGCAGGGGCCGGCATCAGTAAAGACTCCCTGCGAAATTGGCCCCAGCTTCCAAGCTGGATAAACTCCCCGGAATTACGCCCTCCTTCCTCCATTGGCCCAATCAATCAACTCAAACGAAGAGAGAACATTGGGGACCTCCTCCATTTAAGGCAAGTCTTTTTTTACTTCTCGGTTACCCCTGTCTGAACCCAACTTAGGCCGATGTAAGCGCTAGCTTTTCCCTCAGGCTAACACTCCTTTCTTTCGATGTCAGAAGTGGGACTCAATTCTTTTATTTGGCTGTCGGGAGAGGCAGCAGATTGAAAAATAGTCACTGGATGATATTTCTGGACAACCCCCCCAAACTTATATAAATATATATGTATACATTGTAAATCAACGGCCCACATTTTGAGGAGAGACTTGTCTACGCGTCGCAACTGGCTCATCTCTTCTCATTCCAACATATTGTAAATCAACGGCCCACATTTTGAGGAGAGACTTGTCTACACGTCGCAACTGGCTCATCTCTTCTCATTCCAACATATTGTAAATCAACGGCCCACATTTTGAGGAGAGACTTGTCTACGCGTCGCAACTGGCTCATCTTTTCTCATTCCGATGTATTGTAAATCAACGGCCCACATTTTGAGGAGAGACTTGTCTACGCGTCGCAACTGGCTCATCTCTTCTCATTCCAACATATTGTAAATCAACGGCCCACATTTTGAGGAGAGACTTGTCTACACGTCGCAACTGGCTCATCTCTTCTCATTCGATATTTGCCTGTCTCTCATTGCTTTTGCTGCCTCTGAAAAAGCACAGAAGATGTCAGTACTTCAGAAAAATAAATTTTGGTCATTGTCATTGCAATTCAAAAAAGAGCTCACTCAAACTACAACTAGAATTAAGCAGGACTTTGGATATTATATAGTAGCAGAACCCATTTTTGGTCATTGTCACCACAATTCAAGAAAGAGCTCCCTCAAACTCCAACTAGAACTAAACAGGACTTTGAAGGATATATATTTGCAGAACCCAGTTTTTGGTCATTGTCACTGCAATTCAAGAAAGAGCTCACTCAAACTCCAACTAGAATTAAGCAGGACTTTGGATATTATATAGTAGCAGAACCCAATTTTTGGTCATTGTCACTGCAATTCAAGAAAGCTCCCTCAAACTCCAGCTAGACCTAAACAGGACTTTGAAGGATATATATTTGCAGAACCCAGTTTTTGGTCATTGTCACTGCGATTCAAGAAAGAGCTCCCTCAAACTCCCAACTAGATCTAAGCAGGACTTTGAAGAAGATATATAGCAGATCTTAGGAATCACAATGAAGAAGATTGATCGAGAAAGAAATAACAACAATTACAACATCAACAGATTTGGAGCGGGATAAACAAACAAACTCCCCCCCACAGATAAGTTGAAACACAAGGAGTTTGGCAGACTTTGGACTTAAATCGAGGATTTCCTTTTTCAATGAGGGTCTGGTTAGAAATATGTTGAGATTGGACTGGGATTAAACAAAACAGAATTTTGCCAGAATGGAAAACAACGATTTGTTTTGGTTGGGGGGGGGGGGGTGAAATCAGAATATTGATAACAAAGGGGAAAGACAAGAAGATAATTTTATAGACATGTTGAAATACACTTATAGGCCGTATAAGATGCGATCACTTAAAAGGGAATGATGTTGGGGAAGGGAGGGGGGATATTGAGCAGTTCACATGGATTTGAACCTTAGTTAAAACGCTTAAACTGTCGATATGAATATTGCGTGTGGTTATGTGTTAATTTTAAATACATGGGTTTCTATTTAGCAGAAGCTGAAATGCAATCAAGTAGAATTAAGTAGTCTATGTAATAGTTTGATTAGCTGCCTTTGCTTGAGGGGGGGGGGGAATTCAGTTGTGCTTTCAATGTTTTTTATTTTGATTTTTAATTATTTTTTTAAATAAAATGGGGAATAGAGTTTAGTTATTTGTCTAGTCGGGAGGGGAACGGGGTCGGGATGCAATGGGGCGGGAATATCTCGGGGCTATTTTTGTATCAGATTCTTTGGTTTTTTTGCTTCTTATTTGAAATGCCTGTGTTCGTTTGTTTGTTCTTTTTATTTCAAATTGGTTGTGAAAAAAACCTAATAAAAATCTAATAAAAATTAATGAAAAAAGATACCTTGGTGGAAATTGGAATGCTTCTAAATAGGTGGATGACCACCAAAACTGGATTGCCATGGACATTGGTCACTGAACATCGGAAGTCCAAAACACCAGGAGGGCCCAAGTTTGCCCATGCCTGTAGTAGACCTAAGAGACATTCCTTACCCTGTCTGTGCCTGCCTGTCTCACACACAAACTCCCAACTCGTGATTGTTTGTTTACTTTCAAGCAGAGTATCATAAAGACTCATTCTGGAAAAATAGGGTTTTTAAATCTATATAAATAAAAATGTAATGTTTGTTTGTGGGATTATCAGAACTCAAAAACCACTGGACGAATTGACACCAAATTTGGACACAAGACACCTAACAGTCCTTGTGCACAACAAGTTAAACATGAGCCAACAATGTGATGTGGCGGCAAAAAAAGCCAATGGGATTTTGGCCTGCATCAATAGGATCATAGTGTCTAGGTCCAGGGAAGTAATGCTACCCCTCTATTCTGCCTTGGTTAGACCACACCTGGAATATTGTGTCCAATTCTGGGCACCACAATTGAAGAGAGATATTGACAAGCTGGAATGTGTCCAGAGGAGGGCGACTAAAATGATCAAGGGTCTGGAGAACAAGCCCTATGAGGAGCGGCTTAAAGAGCTGGGCGTGTTTAGCCTGCAGAAGAGAAGGCTGAGAGGAGACATGATAGTTGTGTATACATATTTGACACAAAATTTGGACAAATACACTTACTAACTCGAGGAGTGACCATCACTCAAAAAATTTGATTTTGTCATTTGGGAGTTGTAGTTGCTAGGATTTATAGTTCACCTACTATCAAAGAGCATTTGAACTCCACTAATGATGGAATTGAACCAAACTTGGCACACAGAACTCCCATGACCAACAGAAAATACTGGAAGGGTTTGGTGGGCAGTGTCCTTTGGTTTTGGAGTTGTAGTTCACCTACATCCAGAGAGCACTGTGTACTCAACAATGATGGATCTGGACCAAACTCTACACGAATACTCAATATCCCAAATGTGAACACTGGTGGAATTTGGGGAAAATAGAATCTTGACATTTGGGAGTTGTAGTTGCTGGGATTTATAGTTCACCTACAATCACAGAACATTCAGAACCCCACCAACGATAGAATTGGGCCAAACCTCCCACACAGAATCCCCATGTGGGCCACAGCAACGCATGGCAGGGGACGGCTAGTAAATAAATAAATACAGTAGAGTCTCGTTTATCCAACCTTTGCTCATCCAACGTTCTGTATTATCCAACTAAGTCTGCCTCCCTCCCGGATCCACAGCTGTTTCAATATATTGCAATGTTTTGGTGCTAAATTCCTAAATACAGTGGTCCCTCGCTACTTCGTGGTTTGCTTATCGCAGACTCGCTGTTTTGTGGTTGTTTTTTTTAAAGAATTTAAGTAGCGTGGGAACACTGAGTGAAAGAGAGAGAGCAGCACCTCGTCACCGCCTGGGCCTCTTGCCGAAGCTGCTGCTTCTCTCTGGGGGTGGCTCTTCTTCCCTCCTCGCCCTCTTTACCTTCCTCTTCCTCCTCCTTGTCGCCGCCTGGGTGTCATGAATGACTTTTCAATAACTTTGAAGCATAGATCTTTTTATTGCAATTTCCAGTGTGAAAGGGTAGATCAGATTACAGAAAAACATTTAGACAAAGAATGACATCAGACATACAAATTCTATGCAACTACATTGGATTGACAATTACAATTAACAAACAAAAGGGGAATTACATTTTCACTCAACATTCACGCCACATGTACACACATTCATCCACATGCATCCAAATATTACCATATCCTTTTCTCCCTCCTTGGAGAAGCACCTCTTAGGCCAGACCCTTCTTCCCTGCCCACATATAGTTCCAAAACTTCCATAACTTCAAAACGCCGAAATGCCAAAACTTCTTTCCCTAAGAACAATGCCAAGGACCGTATCTCTTTTTTCCATATCGCAGAACCTGACTCCCTGCACAATATCCAAGACTCCAGAAGCACACTTCCTCCTCTTCCTTTGAGAAAGAAGCCCCAAAGTGACCAGAATCATGCTTTCCCATAGCATATCTGAGACTCTCCAAATACACCATCTCTCTCTTTCCCATGGAGTAGAGCACGGCGGGTGGACAGACTCCTCAGGTCTGCCACACTTTGAGCATTATTAGGCTGAGTCTTTTATAGGAATATTCTGCTGATGTGGTCCCAAAGTTGTAAATTAATGATAGACGTCTTCCATCCTGGCTCCATCTCAGTTTCCTGGCCAGATGTTTACTCTTCTTGCTTGGTGTGGATCTTATGTTGGCTTCCTTCTTAACATAAGGAATGTTGCAAACATTTCCTTAACTTGAAAGAACCATTGTCACAGTTCTTATCAATTCCCATTAGCAGGTTTTGATCACAGTTCGAGCAAGCAGGTAGTTATACTGATGTCTCCAAAATTATTAACTCCCAACTACACATTCTTCCAGTCATTCCCACACATCATATTAAATTCACATTTCTCAGATCTGCACACTGAATTTCTGATTACATGGACCTCTTGCTGCCAGTTGGGCCCCGCGATTGAGGAGGCAGCGGCGGTAGCGTCATGGGACCCAAGCGGCAGCAAGAGGCTCAGGAGGTGACGAGGAGGAAGAGGAAGGTAAAGAGGGCGAGGAGGGAAGGGGAGGAGGCATCTACTCTGCGAAATTTCACTTATCGCGGGTAGTCCTGGAATGTAACATCCGCGATAAGTGAGGGAACACTGTACAATAATTGCTACATGACGTTGCTGTGTATTGAACTGCTTTTTCTGTCGATTTGTTGTCAAACACAATGTTTTTGGCAATTAATCAACGTAATTTGATGTTTAATAGGCTTTTCCTTAATCCCTCTTTATTATCCAACCTTTTCGTTTACCCAACGTTCAACCAGCCCTGGGTTGTAAGTTTTTCGGGCTGTGTGTCCATGTTCCAGAAGCGTTTTCTCCTGACGTTTCTCCTTCACCTATGGCGGGCATCCTCAGAGGTTGTGAGGTCTGTTGGAAACTAGGGGAAATTATTTATTTATTTATTTATATTCCGCCCTTCCCACTCCGAAATGGACTCAGGGCGGAGCACAGCATATACACTGCAAAAATGGGGTTTATATATCTGTAGAATGTCCAGGGTGGGAGAAAGAACTCTTGTCTGTTGGAAGCCAAGTGTGGGTGTTCTATCGGCCCATTTATATTGGATATCCAATATAAACGGGCCAATAGAACACCCACACTGGGCTCCCAACAAACAAACAAAGGGGAATTACATTTTCACTCAACATTCACACACATGTACATGCATTCATCCTCAGGAATTCAAATATTACCATATCCTTTTCTCCCTCCTTGGAGAAACATTTTTTTCACAAGAGCTATCTCCTTGAATTTTCTATCCAATGACACAAGATAACGGGATCATTCCCTCCAACTTTCAGAAATACTAATACATCTACTAATTTATGGGAATTTTTTTAAGTTTTCAGCAAAACAAACTGGGGCAGGTATGAGCAAACCCAGGCCTGGGGGCTGGATGTGGCCTCTTGGGCTCTTTTTCTCAGGCGCTCCTCTCTCTCATCATCCTATCCTTCCTTGTCTCTTTCCTTCCTCCTTCCCTCCTACCTTCCTTACCTCCCTCTTTCTCCTTTCATCCTTCCTTCCCTTCTACCCTTTCCTCCTTCCTTCCCTTCCTCTTTCCTCCCTCCTTCCCCTCCTTCCATCCCTCCCTCCCTCCCTCCCTTACACCCTTTCATCCTTCTTTCTCTCCATCCTTCCCTCTCTCCTTTCTCTTCCTTCCCTTTTTGTCTTTCCTTCCTTTCCTTTTTCCTCCCTCCTCATCCTCCCTTTCCTTCCTTCCCTCTTTCTTTCCTCCTCCCTTCTTCTTCCCTTCTCCTTCCTTCCCTTTTCTCTTTCCTTCCTTCTCTTTCCTCCCTCCTCCCTCCTTCCTTCCATCTCTCCTTTCATCCTTCCTTCCCCTTTCCTCCTCCCTTTCTCTTTCTCCTTCCTTCCTTTTCTTTCCTTCTTCCTTCCTTCTTCTTCTCTTCCCTCCCTCCCTTCCCTCCTCCCTCCCTCCTCCTCCCTTCCTTCCTCCTTCTTTCCTCTTTCCTCCTTCTTCCTCTCTTTCTTCTCCTTCCCTTTTCCTCTTTCCTCCCTCCTTCCCCTTCTTCTTCTCTCCCTTCCTTCTCCCTTTTTTCTTTCTTTCCTTCTTCCTTCTTTCTCCTTCCTTCCTTTTGTCTTTCCTTCCTTCATTCTTTCCTCCCCCTTCCCTCCCTTCCTTCCTCCCTCCCTCCTCCCTTACCCTTAGCCCTTCCTTCGTCTTCCTCCCTTTTCCCTTTTTCTCCTTCCTTCTCTTTCTCTTCTTCCTTTTCTCTTTCTCCTCCTTCCTTCCTCCTTTCTCTTCCTTCTTTTCCTTCTCTTTTTCCTTCTTCCTGGAGGATGTTTAGCTGGAAGAAGAGAAGGTAGAGAGGGAATGTGAGAACCATGTTTCAAGATTTAAAAGGTTGTCCCATTGAGGAGGGAGGGGCAAAATGACTTTCTGCTGCTCTAGAGACCAGATCACAAAGGAGCAATGGGTTCAAATGGCAGGGAAAGAGATTCGACTGACTTTTTCCTGCTCTAGAGACCAGGGCACAAAAGAGCAATGGTTTCAAATGGCAGGGAACGAAATTCGATTGAAAGGATTAGGAAGAACTTCCGGAGAGTAAGAGCTGTTGAGCAATGGCCTAGGCTACCTGGGAGTGTGGTGGAGTCTCCTTCTCTGGAGGCTTTTCCACAGAGACTTGTCTATTGGGAGTGCTTGATTGTCCCTTCCTGCATGGCAGGGGGTTGCACTGGATGCCCCTTGGGGGGGGGGGGTCTCCTCCAGTTCTAGGATTCTACACCAGGAGTACGTCTAATGGATATCCAATATTTCTTTCCCGTCCACCATCTCCTGACCAAGGCCAACCCTTTTGGGATCCAAACGTTTCCTGTCTTTC